GGAGGAAGGTGCCAGGTGGGAAATAGAGCCCAGGGTAGGGGAGCAGCTCCTCTCCAACCCCGGACTCAGCCCCTCGACTGACTGCGTGTGACTTGAAGTTCTTTGTGCCCAGGGAAGGGAGAAGGGGTCCCTGCAGCTGCCCTGATGGGTCTAGTTGGCTTTTATTTTTTTTTTACCTTTTAATTATGGAAAAGTTCAACTATATGCAAAACTAAAGAGAAGAAAGAACTCCTTGTAGTTAGCAACACAGGGCCAGTCTTGCTCATGCAAGTGTACCCCTGCCCACCTCACCCCGCAGGCCACTGGAAGCAAATCTCAGATCACATCATCGCCTCCGAGTATTTCAGTGTGTTTCTCAAAGAGAGAAGAGCTCTCTGTTCTTTGTTGCTGACTTATTCTTACCAGTGGACTAGACTCTGGACAGCTCCTTGCCCCGTAGAGACCTGGCCCAGGGGACCAGCCGTCTTCACGGCTGCTGCAGGACCAATGGCCCAGCATCAGGCTCCTGCTTATAAATACAGCGTTGCTCGGAGTTAGAAGGGCCCGGAAGGCCATCCGGATTGATGCCCACCCCAAAGGTGTGTTACCTGGCGGCTTGTGGGGGCCACTGTATTGAGGCCTGAGGTTGGAGATGGCCTGGGTGCTCTCCCTGCTCCTTGTATCCACACAGACCCAGTAGATTGACTTCCCACTGCACGGATGAGGTGCCTGCGATGATCCTGGGACTCTGCCTTCTGCTCCTTCCCGGGGAGGCCGTTCCCGAGGTGGCTCGCTCTGCCCAATGGGCCTGGCTCTGCCGCTTGCCTGACCCACTGGGGAGGGCAGCAGCTGTTGCTGTAGGCAGGCAACCTGCAGACCTCCGTGTACCTTGGTGCCCACTTGGCTACTCTCCCCACTGCGGAGCCTCCCTGGCACCTGGCCCTCGAGACCCCCTCCCTCTGTTTGACCTTGTGGTGGGGCCGCGTCATTGTCATTTTCCCACAGACTGTATAATCTGTCTGTTCCCCTGCGTTTTGCCAGCTAGACCGTCAGCTCCCGAGACAGGTCCCAGCACCAGGCCCAGAGCAGCGTCTGGGAGGCGCTCAGTGCACCTGCCGGGAGTGAATGCATCGCGGCTCGGCCGTGTAGAGAAAGCGCCGGGTGGAATTCAGGGAGTGCTTCCTCGGCCCTGCTGCCCCCTGTGTGCCGGGACTTGGCTGGGAGGCATCGCCATGCTGAACCTTCTTTTTGACTTTCTGTGAACTGTGAGGAGGGGTGTTCACCTCTGGTGGGTTTGAGATGTAATGATGTACTGTAGAGTCCCCCCGTTTACAGTGTCCAATGCAGCAGGTGTTAGTATGTTCACGGAGTTGTGCAACCATCACCACAGTCCATTTTAGGACATTTTCATCCCCCCAGAAGAAACCATGCACCCCTGGGTCGTCAGCCCGCCCCCAGCCCCTGGCACCACTAACCTGTGTTCTCTCTGTGGATGTGCTTACTCTAAATGTTTGGTATAAATGGACTCGTACATGAGGTGGGGGGGGCTTCTTTCACTGACTTGTTGGGGACAGCTGAGAGGACTTTGGTACCCCGCCCCAGCACCCCTATAGGGTAGAATGTAAGTGAGTCTATGAGCCTTACGATGGTAAGTGGTGAAGCCAGATTCAAACCAGCCTGGCTGGTCCCCCACCCTGGCTCCAGAGGGGAGGCTGAGCTGGTTTGGGGGCAGAATGAAAAGGCCTCTCCGGGAAGGGCATGCAGTGTGGTGGGAGGGGTCCAAAGGCAGGCCAGCCCGTTCCAGAGGGCAGGTGGCGCTGGCCAATGTCTAGGCATCTCCTAGAACTGTCAGGATTAGCTTTTTTTTTTTTTTTAGATTTTATTTATTTATTTGACAGAGAGAGACACAGCAAGAGAGGGAACACAAGCAGGGGGAGTGGGAGAGGGAGAAGCAGGCTTCCCACTGAGCAGAGAGCCTGATGTGGGGCTTGATCCCAGGACCCTGGGATCATGACCCGAGCTGAAGGCAGATGCTTAATGACTGAGCCACCCAGGCGCCCCTGCTTTTTTTTTTTTTAAGATTTATTTTAGTTATTTGAGAGAGAGAACAGAGGGGCAGAGGGAGAGAAAGAAGCAGACTCTCTGCTGAGCAGGGAGCCCCATGCGGGACTCGATCCCAGGACCCCAGGAGCATGACCTGAGCCGAAGGCAGACGCTTAACCGGCTGAGCCACCCAGGCATCCTGGGGGCTCCTTGTCACTCACAGGTCCTCTGTCTAGGGTACCCCTGATGGAGGCTCCATTCACTGCTCTCCCTGGACCCATCCCTGCTCTTCTGAGCCCTGAGAGCCCTTGGCTGGTGACCAAGCATTTGCGGCCCAAGTTCCTCGTGTGAATCCCATGTCTGCTGGTTTCCAGAAACACTCGTGGGCTGGAGACACAGAAGGGCCCCTCCCATCAGGCAGGACCTGGCTCCAGTGGGCTCTGCAGATGGCCTGGTGGCCATCAATCTCCATCCCGCTGCCTTGCCCAGGCCAGGCTCATGCTCTTGTTTTTGAGAAATTCTTTTCTTTCCAAGCCTCTTACCTTCTTTCCCCTGTTCCAGGAATGGAAATTCCACCAGCTGGAGGGAGGCCCTGCTCCAGAATCCCCCAGCAGAGAGGGGCTGGGCCTTTTGAGCTGGGCGGACCCTCGGCACATGGCCCAGCCCAGGCTCTCCACCTCAGCCAGCTTCCCAGCCCCGGGACCCAAACACACTGCCCATGAGCTGGTCCTCTGTGAGGCAGGCGGGAAGCCTGGCTGCAGCCCCTCCTCCCCCTGAAGAGGGGCCCAGCCATGCCGCTCTCCTGAGCCCTGGCCTTTGGCTGCAGGTGGATGGGAGCCACGGGTCCCCTCAGCCACGCCAAGCACGTTCCACAGAGGAGAGGGAGCAAAAGGCCCCACTGACCTAGCCTGTGGACTTGACCTTGCATTCTTGGCTTCTTCAGCTTTCCCCCATTTGCTGCAGGGATGGATGGATAGAGGGTAGGGCCATGCTGCTCAGAGTGGCCCCCAGGCCAGCAGCATCGCATCACCGGGATGCTTGTTAGAAATTGGTCTCAGGCCCTGGCCCCTAGACCCCCTGCACCAGAATCTGCATCTATAAGACCCCCAGGTGACTTACGCTGGAGAAGCTCTGCCTGGGTTGCACAGAAGCCGGCCCCGCGGAATGCGGCCTTGTGGTTGTGGGGTGCCTTCAGCACAGGGATGGGCCCTGGCCTCCCGCCCCCAGGAAGCTCCCCCTTAGCACTGCCTGCTCTAACAGAGAGAACATTTTGTTTCCCCGGGCTGTCTCAGGTCAAACTGCATGGCCTCAAATTTTATTTTTAAAAAGTCAGCCAGAGATGAAACCAGAGCAGCAGGCAGGCCTTCCTCAATAAAGCGTCTTGGGAAGACACCAGTGTCCACGTGCGCTCCGAAGACTCTTCAAATACGCACCAGAACCGCTATAAGGAGCATGATCCTCGTTCTTGAAAGACCCAAATGTTCCACTGGCTCCAAGCCACAAGGTTTTGACAGTTTACACCTGGTGACATTTAGCGAACAATTTCTGAGAAGGCTGAGGGGGAGGAAATATTTGGTTTAACCTGACATTACATCCTCTGGCTGATTGTTCTCTCTTTTGCCAATATACCATTTGCCTGTAAAACACTTGGGCCTAAAAATAGCTGCTGGGGCTTGGTGTCATTGTGGATGAAGGGCAACTGCCCCATTTCTTTAGCTTTCAGACACCCTCAAAGTATCGCAAGGAAATGTCCTAGAGGAATCAACACAGCTCTTTGAACCTGAATTCCTGAGCAGGGCTGGCGAGAGAGAACTTCACAGTGGGATAGATGGGGCCTCGGGGAGTGACCTCTGCCTGGTGTCACACCCTTTAGTGGCCAGGCCAAGCCACTCTTTTTTAATTTAATTTAATTTAATTTAATTTAATTTTGAGAGAGAGTGGGGGAGGGTGGGGAGGAGCAGAGGGAGCGAGAGAATTCTCGAGCAGACTGTGCTGAGGACGGAGCCCAGCGTGGGGCTCGATCTCACGACCCTGAGATCATGACCTGAGCGGAAACCAAGAGTCAGATGCTTAACCGACTGAGCCCCCCAGGCACCTCCAGACCAGGCCACTCTTAAAAGTGAAAGGGGGCAGGCGCCTGGGTGGCTCAGTTGGTTGGGCAATTGCCTTTGGCTGAGTCACGATCCCTCGGGATCGAGTCCTTCATTGGGCTCCCTGCTCAGCGGGGAGTCTGCTTCTCCCTCTGACCCTCCCTCTCTTGTGCTCTCTCTCACTCTCTCTCTCTCAAATAAATAAATAAAATAAAATCTTTAAAAAAAAAAGTGAAAGGGGCACCGTTCACAATCCTGCCAGTTTGGCCAATTCCCTCTGGTCAGTAGGCTCTGTACCCCCCGCCCCGAGTATGGGGACGTGGCTTCCTAGGTTGCTCAGAGGAAAGACGTGACAGGGAAGGGGTGAGCAGGACCCAAGGAGCCGCTTCCTGCTCATCTGCGCCATCCGAGGCTCCCTGCCCACAAAGCGGTCACTATTGCTCTTGGTACAATAAAGTGGCCTTCCCAAGGGGACATAGCACAGCTCTTGTCCCCACTTCCCTTTGGGGCAGGGACTGTGAGCAACTGGCATTCCCTGGGAGTGGACCAAATGCAGCGTCCCCAACAGGGACCCTCTTTTCCTTCCTCACACATGGCCCTGTTTTAGGCCTTCCCTCCCATGTTTCATTTATCAACAGCATTTCCAGCTGCAGTTCGTTATCAAATGGGCACTGGTTTGGGGGCTCCACCTGCTGTGAAGGGTGGCGTGGGTGTGCTCCTGAAACTGGCATCCCTACAGGGCCAGCGCCTGGCACCCAAGCAGCCCCAGCTGGCCAGTGGAGCCCGGGTGGGGTCTTCTGGGCCCTCCTGGGGTAGGGCCCGGGCCTTGGCCCACAGTCAGGGTTCTGTGACCTCTCTAACCTGCCTGTCTCTGTGTGTGGTCCACAGCCCGAGACCGAGGACGAGAAGAAGCGCTTTGAGGAAGGCAAAGGGCGGTACCTGCAGATGAAGGCCAAACGGCAGGGCCGGCCAGAGCCCCAGCCCTAGGGGCCGCCCCCGCGCTGGGCCTGGAGTAGCCCCAGTGTCTAGTCACTTAGAATTCACCCCCTTGGCCAAAAACCCAATCCACACTGAGAGCTGGTGTTGTGTGAAGTGTTCGTCTTGCAGTGTTAACCTGTGCTCTCTCCTGGAAACCTACACACCAAAGCTTTATTTCTATCACTCCGGTGTAAGCGCTCCCTAGGGAATGCTTGCGTGCATACTATACGGTGTGTAAAGAATCCAGCGTCACTAATAAAGCTGCTGTTTGGCTGGACCTTGGTCCTGGGTGGTCATTTGTCTTGGGGGGCTGCGTTCCTGGTGGGCACTGATGCGGGGACTAGAGGCTTCCATGGGCCCACCCCTCCCTCCCCCCCCCCGGGTACCAATGCCTGCGTGTACCCCAGAACTCAGGTGCTGGCTGGAGAGAACACCCCTTCCCTCCCAGGGCCCTGGTTCCACGTCCTGGCCTGGAGGCACCAGCCCCCCACTTGCCCTCTCTCTGGCCTATGCAAGATGCCAGCTCTGAGCCCCCAGTAGCCTTCCCGTAGGCGGGGTGGACGGTGCTTTCGAGGACTCAGGGAGGTGATGTGCAGAGAGAGCTGAGGCCAGCCTGGCTGCTGCACGCTCAGCATATGGGAGCCCTGGCTTCCCTCCACCTCTGAGTGGAAGCAGTGCTGGAACCTTGGCCCTCTGGAGAAAGAGGCAGGGATTTTGCTAGAAGGGGCCTCCCAGCTGGTGCCAGGGCCCCCGTGCCTGTCGTGGGAACCCCCAGCCAGTCAGGCCAATGGGTTGTTGGGAAGGCTCATGGCGGGGGGGTCTGAGGGTGGTGTGTGTGTGAATGGTGCCCATGCATGACTGTGCGTGCGCGCGTGCACATCTGTGGCCCTGTGTGTGCACCGAGGCCAGCAGCCTCAGGGGGCAGACTAGCTGCTGAGGCCACTACGGGCGTCTGTCCTTCACCCCCACCCGCAGCTGAGGAAGACTCCTCCACCAAGCACACCCGGTGGTGGGAGAACGTTCCCAACTCGGGCCCACCCTGGCAGCCTGGAGATGGAGACCGACCACAACAGCTGCAGCCTCACAGCGAGGAGGGGCTCCAGATGTGCAGAAACCCCCGCCAAGAGCTTTGGAATCCGTCTCAGGCCCCCGTCCCGGCTGACGGGATTATTTCCTGCCTGGAAGTGGGGGGGAGGGAACACGCCACGTGAGGCCACGGCAGCAACCCCCTCAGCCGCCCCAGCTCCGCCCGTGCCCCGTGCCGACCTCCTGAAGGCGATGGCGGTGCCTGGGCTGGGGGCCACCGGGAGGCCTGCCCTGCGCGTGCAGCACAAAGCCCAGCCCAGGCCAGCCAGACCGTGGTCCGCGAAACCAGAACTGGTTATGGCCGTGCCTGAGCCCTTGGGTTCCCCGAGGGAAGGGGGCACCAGGGCTTCTACGTCCTTCTCAGTCTTGGCTTGGCCACTCATCTGTGCGGCTTTGGGCAAGCCAGGTACCTAAAATCCACTTCCCGGGGCAGCTGGGGGGAGCCCAGGCTAACAAAGCGTTTAACACGAGGTCTCCGGGTTGGCCATTGGAGGCCCATTCCCACCTGTCCCCAGAGCCAGCTGAGCCCAGGGCAGGGGCACTAGTAAAGGCAGTAGTGGGTGAGCTGGGCTGGTGGGGGGGGGGGGTGCTGGGGGCCAAACGCTAGCGGGGCAGCAGTGTGGCCAAAGGCTAGGGATGACTGGATCACAGGTGTTTGCCTTAGAAATGTCACACCTGATAACCAGCCTCCTTGTGCCAGCCTCCCACTGCTGGTGGCCTATTTATAACCAGGGCCCCCTGGTCAGGGAGCTGGCCCGTCCACGGAGGGCTCACTAGGGGTCCTGACTGCCCAGAAGCCACACACACGGAGCGCATGGCCCAAGGCCCCCCATTCACCAGCCCCACTTCATTGTGGAGCCTTTGGATACAAACACCTTTACTTTTGTCTCAGAGGAGACAGCGCGGTGCCCGGCTGTGGAGCAGAGCAGGCAGCACTGGCTGCATTTGGCTGGTCCTGTCGGACGGGTGCCCCCTTCCCCCAGACACTGAGCTGTGCATTCATAGATGCTTCCCAGGTGCATGGGCAGGGCAGGGCCATGCCAACAGCCCAGAGTGACTGGAGGCCTTGTGCCCAGGGTGTGTGGTCACGGGCGTTCTAGAAGAGATAGGAGACAGGCAGGGTCCTGTCCGGGGTCCGCTGCCTGGATGGGAGACCAAGATACCAGCAATCACTCTCTTGTGACTCCAGAGGTCTCCAGAGGCCCCCAGTCGAGGACACTGATAGGATTCCCTCTAGATGTCTACGGGTGGCGGCCTGTGTGCCCGCCAGGAGTGCTAAGGGGGGTAGCTCCTGAGGGGGATCGGGACCAGGAGTTCTGGGTTGTAGGCCCGGCTCTCCCTGCTGCGCTGTCCTGGTTCCAGCTTGAGAACATTTCTGAGCCCTTGGCGGGGACGGGCAAACCACCTGGCAGCCCTGTGGTCTGGTCACCATTCCATGGTGGACCCCGCCCCGGGCCCAGGATAAGTTTGAATCCTTAACTGGCCCAACCTTACCTCTCACTGCCCCAGACCCTTGATCCTGACAAACTCCCCAGTTCCTGGAAGTATCTAATCCTCAGGCTACTCCGCACCCCACCCCTATTGTTCACCTTAGATGTGGCTTCCTCCGGGAAAGCCTCCCTGAGCCCCCACCCCCCCGGCCCTAGGCTCCCGCCGCCCATGCTGGCCCCAGGCCCCCTTGACCTGCCAGCCCGCAGAGCTCTGGGCCTTCCCTTTCCCAGGGGGCTTGGAGGCGACCTCGGGGCAGCGGACCGACCCGAGACGGCAGCGGGGGGCCGCGCTCCCTAGGGGGCTTCAGTTCCGCGGCGGCGGGGAGGCTGGGGAACCATGGACCGACAGATGCACGGACAGACGGACGCGGCTGCAGGCCGCGCCTCCGGGGGCGGGGGCGGGGCGGTCCGAGGGGCGGGGCGGAGGCATGCGCCCTGCTCCGCCCCCAGCCCCCGGCCTCCCGAGCGCAGCCAGCCGAGCGGTGGGAGCCGAGCGCGGCGGCGGCGCGAGGGGAGGGAGGGGCGGCGGGCCGAGCCGAGCCGAGCGGAACGTGCGGGCCCCGGGCGGCGCCGCCAGGATGCCCCGGCCCGCGGGCCGCTCCGCCGCCAGCCACCCCCGCGGCCCCCGGCGGCCCGCGCTCGGCCGGGGAGCGCGTGAGCCGCAGCCAGAGCCGGAGGCGGGAGCAGCGAGCAGGAGCCCCGGGCCCCCCAGTGCAGGGTGAGCGCCGCCGCCCGGGCCCGAGGACGGCGAGGTGGGAAGGACCCCGGGAGGGAGGACCCCCGGCGGGAGGGCCCTGGGCAGGGAGGGGCTGCCTGCGGTCTGTTGCTCTCCGGTCTGTCCGAGGGGCCGCGGGCACCCCCGAGGGCCGCGCACCCCCACCCCCGACTCGGGGACCTCCGGGGTAACTTGCCTGAGGCTGGCCTCTTCCCCGCTCTCTCCCCCGTCCTCCCCGCCTCCGGGTCTGGGAGCGCCGCTTGCAGGGAGCGGGGACAGCCAGTTTAGGGGTACTGGGCCCACCCCTACCCAGAGTAATCCGTTGGGGCGTCCGGCTCCCGGACGCGCCCTCGGGGCTGGGTAGGGCTGGGGGGTCCCGCTGGGGACCGGCAGGCTGGGATGCGCCGGGTCGGGCGGGAGTGTCAAGCACTGAGGAGCGGGGCCCGCGGGATCGGGGGGCGGGCGGGGCGGGCGGGGGGCGTGCCGGAGATGCGGAGGCTCCGCGCCGCGAGCCCCGCCCTGGGCGGCAGCCGGGCCGGGCCTCGCGGGCCGATGGGTGGCAGCGCGGGCGAGGCGCAGCTGGGGGTGGGGACAGCGGGGGCGCAGGCCCACGCGAGCTGGGCGGGTGCAGCTGGAGCCCGCCTGGAGCCCGGGGAATCCTTTCAAGTTCTGGGTTCTCTTCGTTGCGCAATAGAGCCCTGGGGCCGCGAGGCTTCATTGGCCCGGGGCCGTGACGTCACGCCAGGGCCCCGCCCGCAGACCCTGCCGGGGTGGGGGGAGAGGCTTCCGGGCCGGCTGGGTCCCACGCCCGGCACACCTGCAGTCCGCCCAGCGACGTGCTGTCGGGGGAGGGGAGAAAGGAGGGGCTCCGGGATCTGGGGGAGGCAGGAAGCCCCAACCTGAAATGCTGGGGGGACGCTTTGAGTGTATTGCGGAAGAAACTTCCCAGTGGGGAGCGGCGACACCTGGGTGTGGACCGCACTGGCTGGAGCCCAGTCTGGGGTCTGGCCCTCCGCGTCTGCTGCTCCCTTTGGGGAATGAACAGCAGGCGCCTGATCAGCCCGGAGGAAGGGGTCTCGGGGTCCCTGCACCGTTAGCCCCCTCTCACTGTGCATTTGGAGGACTTGGTATTCACCCCGCAGTGGCATTCTTCCCCCATCCCAGCACCACCGCTCTCAGGAGTCCTAGACTCCAAACCCGGCTCTCGCACTTCCTCCCTGTGTGGCTCTGGGTTCTGAGCCTCAGTGTTCCCATCTGCAATGTGGGAACAGCAGGACCCATCCTGCAGGGGTTCAAGGAACAAAAAATGCCTGTTCCTGCTTGGGTTTGAGGCCAGGATTTTGATGTCAGCAAAGTGGGGCTTGGGTCCTGGTTCAGACACTTCATAGCTTGGGCAAATGGTTTAACCTCTCTCTGTCTTTGCTGGACTGTCTTTAAAATGGGGATAATGTCAGTATTGATCACACAACATCTCTGGGGACACTAACTGGGAGTGTGCCCGTTCCCACTGCCTCCTCCCTCTCCAGGCAAGTCACATCCTGCTGCCCACAGACCGAGGGCCTTTGCCTGCAGTGAGACACTGTTAGGCCAGACAGGGGGCAGATCTGGCACCATGAAAGGTTCTGCCAGTTGCCCCCTGTGGCACCTTCCCCACCACCCTGCACCAGTGGTCAACAGGGCCCCAGGTGACAGGGGCCAGACAGAGCCTGTGGGGACTCTGAGGGAAGGCCTCCCAATGGGACAGCCAAGGAGACCCAATGCGGGTGGAAAGAGATGCTGGCCCACCAGGTGCATGCTGAATCCAGCTTCCTGTTTGACAACATACAGGTCACTGGTGTCTGCAGTCTCTGGCCCACAGCAGCACCCACACCCTGCCGGCTCTGGACCCCCCTGGGCTTCCTCACCCCAAAGCTGTGCTATCCCAGGTTCTGCTTCGGGTGGCTGTGTCTACCCACAGGTCTGAGGCTTACCCACACCCCCAAGCTC